TAGTAGTAGTAGTAGTAGTAGTAGTAGTAGTAGTAGTAGTAGTAGTACCGGTAGTAGTAGTAGGAGTAGGAGTAGGAGTAGTAATAGTAGTAGTAGTAGTAGTAGTAGTAGTAGCAGTAGTATAGTAGCAGTAGTAGTAGTCGTCGTCGTAGTCGTCGTAGTCGTAGCAAATGGATGTGTTTTACCAACGCGTTTAACACATGGTAGTGGAGCCAACAAAGCATCCAGAATTAGCTTGTGATTAGCATGAGAACACAGGGTGGGTAGAAGATCCAGAATTATCCTGTGATTAGCATCCAAACACAATGGATTTCTGATGGTAGTGGAGCCAACAAAGCATCCATGGTTCACGACGTTTGCCGCCCACTCGTTTGACCACCGCAGAGCCTTTGTTTGGAACCATGCGCACGCTCTTCCTTCAACGCGACAAAGGTCCGTCCCGCCAGGGCTTCTTCTGAGACAGGCTGCGGGTTTTCGGAAGGGCTGCCGGAACAGCCCCCGCTTCATGATGGGAGGTTGAAGGGAAGGGATCCCCCTGGGAAACAAAAAAACCTTCAACTGTTTGACCATCTTTGAAGCGGCCCAGGGGGAGGGGGGAGCACAGCTCCTCCCGGTAAAGGGCCGCGGGCTCAGAGGCGTCTCTTGTCGTTGCTTTTCTGTGACTCGTTACTGTTGGCTGCACTTTTTTTTGTGCCAGAAGTGCGTACGTCTTCTGCTGCAAGTTTTGGCTCAATGTCGCATTCCTGCACGACATGTCCCGAGGCCCGCAATATGTCTTTTTGACTTTGCTCCGTTTGACAGTCAGCGCCGTGCGTCCGGTGCTGTCCTTGTTTCTCGCTGCGCTAGGGAGCTTGCCCGCCCGCTGGGCCGATGACCCTGGCCCCGAGGCTTCCAGTTACTTCCGGTTGCCTTCCCTCTTCTTTTGTTTTGCTGGAGGAGTTCAACCCCGTGGCCTTCCTGCACATTTTTCGGGCATGCAGTCTTACTGTGAAAACACCGGCTGGGGCCTAAGCTGCGCGCCAGTTTTAGTTTTGCTTTCATTCTCCACGTCCTGTTTGCAGGTGGGCTGGATCCGTGTGCCATATCACGAGTCTGCCAAGGCGCTGCACCACGTCAGCTGTGGCGGTGCGGTTGTGACTTCTCTGCTTTCACATGCGGGCGCCAAAGACTATGTCAAGGACCCGGCTGCTGGTGTCTTGGTCTCAGAAACGAGCGCGCGGTACCAGTTTTGCTGCTGGGATGTGGGCCGCCGCACAGGGTGGTAAGCCTGTGCAAACTCTGGGCAGCCGCGTTGGCCATGCCATCTCGGGTGCCACGCCGCCAGTCCCCCTGCTCAATAAAGCGCTGTCGGCGTTGGACTTGAGTTTTTTTTTTTTTCTCGCTAAGGCTTAGACACATTCATTGCCATGTTTCCAGGATGACCAGTGTTTGGAGGAAGCGTGGAAGCAGGCGTGTGAGGCAACTGCAGCAGTTTCGTGCTTTTATGTTTTAAACAGTGGCTTGCGCCGTATCGTTTCTTGCACGCTGCCAGGAGTCGATGGAAGCACCTACAGGTTTGTTCTTGCACACTTCTTGGTGCCTACGCCTGAGCTTCCTTGAAGCCATCGTTCTCTGTTCTTTTTCTTTCGAATCTCAGGCGATGGCTATGTCTGGGGCGGTCCAACTCGGCTGTGGCGGCGGAGTTTGATTGACCGCGCGTGCGCCAACTTGTTCTTGTTGTAGTCTTGTGCTTTCCCTTTAACTACTGCGCCCATTCTTGCAGGTTGCGCCGTATTGCGGATTCACGTTCTGCTGCTTTGGATCTTCACTTGGAGGCGCTTCTCTTATAGTTGACAGTTGCAGTCGTTGGGTTAAAACAGCTCTCTTCCCTGAATGCCTCCCAACTTTCAGCCAAGGTGAAAGAAGTCTTGCACCTTCCAGCTGTTGCAGCTGCCGCTGAGCCCTTCGCGAGTTGCCTGGCTTCGGTTGGAATTGTCTGGTTCTTCTCGCGCAAGTGTCGCAACAAGCGTGCCCACAGCATAAATGGCAACACTGCCGCAGGCAGGTTGCGGAAAATCCTTGAGGTATGCCCTCTACAAAACTCAAGTTTTCTCCCCTGGCAGGTCTTCGCGGCCTCTTCCCGAACAAGACCGGCACATCTTGCTGGTTGGCCAGTCTGCTGCAAAGCTGCTTCAATTGTCCTTCTTTAGTCGTATCGGCCTTGGAGCACCAGCGCACGCAGACTTGTGGGGCTGCCTGTTGGCAGTGCGCTTTGCGAGCGATTCAGGAAGCGAGCAGACACCCAGGCTCCAGCATTGACTTGGCCGCGCTGTGGGCGGAGCCGCTGCAATCTGTTGGCGTCACCTTTGACGAGCAACAAGACCCATTGGAGATTCTCAACCAGCTCCTACCCAAGGGAAGCGAGGCTTTAAGTGGTCTGTGGGCACAACATGTGCACTGCCTAAAGCGTGAGCAGACGTGTGCTTGTGTTGTCGAATTGGCCACTGCCCGTGCAGCTCCTGTTCGGCATTTCATCGCTTCTCTGAGGTTGCCGTCGTTTGACCCTACTGCTTCGATCTGTCTTCCAGATTTGTTGGAGTCTGATTTTCAACCTGTGCCGGATGGTGGCTTGCCTTGCCCATCATGCTCGGCAGACATAAGCTTGTGTTGTTCTGATTCATGGCAGCTTGGTCCAGTGGCCTTGCTGCAGCTGGTCCGGGAGACGGCAGTCGGCGGATTGAACCGCATCGCTGTCTTCGCCCCGCCGGAGTTTGAAAATGCAGGGCATGTGTTTCATCTTCGCGCTGCTGTTCTCCACCGTGGCGATTCATTCGACTCTGGGCACTATATCGCTTTCGTGGTGCAAGCTGATGGCATTTGGGTGCAGTACAATGATGGCACTAAACCCAAGCGCTTGTGCCGTGAGCCTAAGCATCTCCAAACGCACGCGCGATACTTTACGAAATGCGGTCTCAGGCCCGCTGCAGCTACCCTTTGTGGAAGAGTAGGTCAAGCTATACGTTTTGCTTTCTCATGTTCCCAAAACCATGCTAAACCCTGGTGCTGTCTCATTGCCAGGCACCATCCTCTCCCACTCCGGCGCCTGAGTTGACTCAGCCTGCAGTTGTGGATGAGGATGCCAAGGACTTCCTCAGCAACCCGGCTGCTGCTGTGTTGGCCTCAGAAACGGGCGCACGCGCTTACCAGTTTTCCTGCTGAGATGTGGGCAGCCAGGCACCCTCCTCTCCTACTCCGGCACCTGTGTTGACTGAGCCTGCAGCAGCGCAGGCAGCGCAAGTAACAGCGTGGTTCCTTTTTGGCACTCAACCTTGCTGTGCTTTGAGCTATGCCTCTCCGTTTGCTTGTAGCGCCACAGGTGTCTTCACCACCTCGAGGAGCAGATGACGAGGCGGGCCGTCCTAGAAACTCTGTTTCCGTGACTTGGCATTCATTCTCCCCCAGGCCAAGCTTTCCGAAGCTGCAGCCGGCCTACTTTCATGCCAGAGGAACATGGGCACGACCAGCTGGTGGGACATGCCTTGCAGCTTTTGCAGGTCTATACATCTGGTGAGGATTGCCGAGACTTTTTAGCTAGGATGCCTGTGTATCAAAGCTCTGGTGTCGCTCAGCTGGACTCCTTGGCCGAAAGTTACCAAGCCCAAGTTGCGGACCTTTGCCAGGAAAATACAAACAGCCACGCAGCTTTGGAGATTGTATCGTGGATCAGCGACACCACAGTTTACCCTTTGGCTGTTCTGCTTGAAGCCACAGCTCGCGCAACTGCAATTCCTTTAACTTTCTGGTTGGATTTAACACAAAGTTTTGCCAATTCTATCTTGAACAAGCATGCCTTCGTGCAGCTGACAGAAAGGTACGAAACCAAGAACAGGTACTGGATGGTGGGGACGGCAAACGTGGCTGAAGGCAAGTCGCCCGCCATGGGGCCGGTGGCAAAAGTTGTGGAAGCAGCCTTACAACGACATTCTGCTGTCACGGTTGGCTCTGCCGCAGACCAGTTCCATCTCCAGCAGGTTGGGTGTTTCAATTCTGCCGCAGGCCGTGTTTTGCATAAGGTCTTCCTATAACTGATAATCCTTCCTAGACCTTCTTTTTGCCTTTTCTTGGTCAGCCCCAGGGAAGCACTTCTGCTGCTGCGCGCGAAAAGTTGCGATTCTGTGAGGGGTACCTGGCAATACATTCCGATGAAGCTGGTGCTTGCTTGTGCCCTGCGTTTGCGCATGGCGGAGCAACTGACCCTTCAAAGTTCATTGATCTACAATCGTTTTTGAACGCAGCCCACGGAGGTTCCTTCAGCTTCAGTACGCAACTTGACCGGCAAAAGGTCTTGAAGCCAAAGCTGCCAGACCCAAAAGCCCCAGTTCCGGAACCTGTGTGCATGACGTTGAAGGAGACCAATGTTCATGTCACCTTCCTTCAGCAGGAGCATTTCTTCACAACTTGGTGGGCACCCCTCGCAGCAAACAAGCCTACAGGCCTAGTGCAGCGGTTCCTATTTTCTTTTGGCGCACGGCTCAATACGGGAAAACAATGCTGGAATGGATTCCTGCGAGACGTCACGCTCCCTGTGCTGGAGAACTTATTTGCTGCCATTGTTCGCTGCTTTGGTCCCCACATGACAGCTTTGACGCAACCGGTTTTTCACACTTCTGCAGAACAACGGTCTGTGATTGTGGATCTGGAGCTGTTCATGCTGTGCTCCGGGAAGCTATGCCTAAAGCAATGTACTGGCTGGGAACATCCATCATGACGAACCATTTGGTTGAGCATCTGTAGCCTGCGGCGTTGGGCTTTGAGGTTCCAGAACACTTTCCCACGCTGGTGTCCAACGAGTGCTTCAGTTCAAGTGTGCAGTTCATGCTCAAGCGGTACTTGTATGGCCAAGCAGTTCTGAGCGTTACGGCCAAAGAACAAGGGTTTCTTCCACGCTTTGAGGTTGAGAGAGACCCTGACGATCTACTTCCGCTACTTCTGCCCACATTTTTTGCGCAGACCTGGCCTTAAAACGTTCCATCGAGAAAGGGTCGGAAGCATCTGCCAAGTTGGCCAAGCACCGCATCGCGACCATCTGGCAGCAGTTGAAAGACTTAGACGTTGGCGAGTTGTGTGGATCTGGAGACACGGTGCATTTGCGAAAGTACGACCTCACCTCTTTGTTGCCTCGCTGCCTTGATTGGCTTCGCAAACACCGGGTGCCCGTGTCTCACTTTGGACTTCGCCTCCGTGTGGACCATGCCGCCTTTTTTGGACGTTCCTGTCCGGACCTTCCTTCGGACATGGATCCTCCAGGTCCTGGCGCTGGCACCGAGAGCGCTGCCGCTGCCCCACAAGCTTCAACTCCAAGCCCACAGGCCCGACACCCTGCAAGTGCTGACCCGCCTTGTGCGCGTGCAACCAGCCGCATTGGGGACCAAAAGAACATTACTTCGGGCGGTGCTGCCAAGCGGCCGGCTACTAGACAGACGCGCAGACGAGAACGCTCGTGGTGCGATGTTGGTCGCGTTGACCTCGGTTCGCCTCTGCTCGGACACAAGCAGCTCCTTGCGCATCTTCGTCAACGGTCTGAATGGAGTGACTGCAGGGTTGCAGTCAGAACTGTGTGGCAAAACAAGGAAAGGATTCAGTCGGAGATTCGTTGTGTGGAGAGCAAAACGTGTCAGTGCATGTGGCGAACTCACTACATCCTGGCAAAAACCATCTACTCTCCTGGCACGCTTGTCATCCAACGGGCAGGCGACCATAGCGGTCATGGAGTCTCCCGTTCTGCGTCCGGAAAAATTTTCAACCAGCAACAGAAGCACGCAGCAGCAACTTTCTTCACGCAGGGCGGTCGGGCTGTCAAAAGCCTCCGCGCTGCACTTTTGGCGGCCGGTTCTACAGAAGCATCTTTGCCTACCAACAAGCAGCTCGGTGATTGGCTTCGGCGAGAAAAAAAGCAATCGAAACAAGCATTAGACCGAGACAGTAATGTTGTTGCAGCTGTTCAACTGGAAGTGGGCGCGCTCCCGACGACAGTGCCGAAGGAGGTCGACGCCCTGTTTTTGGTCAAGCCGCCTATCATCTCGGATGCTGAGGTGTGCATTATCTTTGCTTGCCCAGGCATGCTTGACACACTGAGTCGCTATACTGGCAGTGACATAGCGTTGGCGGTGGATACCAAGATGCAGGTGCTGGACCGTGGCATGGGCGTTGCGACTTTGAGCTTGCTGGTGAAAGATGAGCTACGCCCAACCCATTTGCCAAAAATGGGCGCAGGCTGCCGCACGCAGAGCCGTGCTTGGACTTCACATGGCATGCCGCTGCTGCAAGCAATTTTTCATGCTGAGACAAAGGCGAACTATGTCAACTTGTTTGACGCTTGTTGTGACCTTTGGACAGCGAGGCATCCCAACAAGAAGCCATTACAGCAGCAGATGAGCTTGCAGTTGCACAAAGATTTCCACCCGAGCATCGAAGAAGCTCGTCGCCATGTCTGGCCGCTTTCCCGACCGTGTGACGATTTCTTTCACTTCAAGGAAAAATCGCACACTACTATGCAAGCAAAATGCCAGCAGCTGGTCTCGCGAAAAGGGAAGTTTGTTAAGAAATACGTGCATTTTGCTTTGGAGGTCATCAACATCCTTCGCTTCGTTCCGACCTTACCTCTTTTCAGTTGGCTGTGGAAAGCGTTCGTCGCAACCCTTCGGCGTCTCGGTGAACCCACCCTGGCCGATTGGTTGCAGACCTATGAGCGGCCTATGCCAGCCATCTTCCAAGGCCACCGTTCTCCCGACATCATCTTTGTAAGCTTCTGGGTTGGGTTTGATGGTATTCTGCCAGGATCTGGTAGTGGCAGTGAGCCTGCCGAGGCCATCCACTCTTCCTGGCAACGGGAACTGAACCAACTTGGCGGCCGCGGAAACATTGGCCATGCGCTTCATGTGTTGCAAAAGCTGTACACAGATCACTGGCAGCATTGGTATTCGTGGACAGCTTCCACCCCGCTGGCCTTTGTTCCGCCCACTCAAGATCCACAATTGGTCAATGGCACTGCGCTCACACGGGCTGGGCGCACTTGCGCCGCCAACTTTGCCAAATTGGCCCCTACCAACCTCTATGTCTTGCAGCAGTGCAATGATTGTTCCTGGGTTGCTTTCGCCAGCGCAGCCGCAGTTTCGCCACTGAACCGCGCCCTTACTTTGAAAGTCTTGCAAGTGTTGATCCACCCAGCTACTTTGAGTGCCCGGAGCTTGCCTGACCTGTTCACTCCTGATGGAAACTTGTGCTTACAGTCGTTCAAATTTCATTTTGAGCACGTCGTGTACTTGAAGGTTCGACCCACCTCTATTCTATGCTCTTGCCCGGCAGCTGCTATGCATGCACAATGTGAGCATTCCACTTTTCTTCGCAGTCTCGGCCTTCCGAATTTCCCACAGCCGCCTGTGATTCTGACCACATTGCCTAGCAGCAGAAAACGCACGGGTCGTCCCACCAAATCGGACGCGCCCCCGCGCAAAAGACGCTGCGGTGTCTGACAGAAGATATACTGACGCTCAAAAAGAAGTCTATGCTTTTTCTTTTGTCCTCTCGCCGATTCTGGTATCTTCTTGTATGAGCGCTGACAGCGTACCAATCTTGTAGCCCGCGCTTTCGTTCCATTGGAGTGGCTGCCAGGTCTTTCTTCTAACGTGGCGTGGCCGCCATTGTTTCCAAGTGTTCTGCTCACTCTGTTCTGCTTTGTCGCTCGCTGTTTGCGCTCGCCAGGTTACCTGCTCATCGCCAGGGTGGGGTGCGACGCCTGCGTACGCACAGTTTTTCTTCTCTGCCCAGCGTCCGCCTTGCCGTGGCAGAGAAGCTCAGTACCGCGGCATGCGGGAAGCCAAGAGGCGCTGAGGGATAACGCTTGTCAACTTGCAACTGTCCACATTGCCGACATCTTGTGCCACGTATGCAGTCTGGTGGTACAAGTGAAATCAAAGGAGTAGTATACTCGTTCTAGCAGTGAGTAGTCTTAATATACTATTCGTCGTACTGGTTGTCGTGGTCGTAGTAGCAGTATAGTAGTATAGTAGTCGTCGTCGTAGTCCTAGTAATAGTAGTAGTAGTAGTAGTAGTAGTAGTAGTAGGAGTAGTAGTAGTAGTAGTAGTAGTAGTAGTAGCAAGAAGTAGAAGTAGTAGTAGTAGCAAGAAGTAGAAGTAGTAGTAGTAGTAGTAGTAGTAGTAGTAGTAGTAGTCGTAGTAGTAGTAGTAGTAGCAGTGGTAGTAAGAAGTAGAAGTAGAAGTGGTAGTAGTAGTAGTAGTCGTCGTCGTCGCCGTCGTCGTCGTCGTCGTACTACTATAGTACCGTCGCCTCGAGCCCCTTACTGTCGCAAAAAACCCCGCTTACCGTTGCAGAAAACCCCGTCCATGCGCTACAGTCGCAAAAAACCCCGGTTACCGTCGCAGAAAACCCCCACAAACGCTTGCCACCTCTCTCTCCCTCGCAAAAAACCCTCGCCCCACCGTCGCAAAAAACCCCCCAGCGGACAGTACTGTCACAGAAAACCCTTTCTGCGGTCACCGTCGCAAAAAAACCCTCTCACACCTCACCGTTGCAAAAAACCCCCAAAACTGTCGCAAAAAACCCGCAGCCCATTTAGGCGTCCTTGGTGTCATTGCATGCGCGGTTCACTGGCTCATGCGCAGGCTGCATGGCAGCATATACACTTCTCATATTATATATGCATATCCTTTACTTGATGGATAATAGGAATTCAGAGCCTAAGTCCCTTCAAGAAAACCAACTATGTTGGTCAGCCAATCTTGAAGGCAGGACAACATACCTTACCTTACCAGGGCTTTGGCCACTTGGGAGTATAACACAACGCAGTGCTCTGTGCCATTGTGTTTTGCACTAACTGGTGTGACTTGCCGAACATGATGTGACTTCTTAGTTTTGGCTCTGTGCCATTGGGAGATATGACTTTACACCGCTAGCATGGAACGCGGCCGGCGTAGCCTCTCCCGGGCTCGACCTAGGACAGATGCGCGGGTTGGCAACCACACCCTTCCCCGACACCAGCAGAGCATCACCATCCTGGGTGCACCGCTTGGCTCACCAGAGTTCATAGCTCACCAGCTGCAAAACACAAACGCAGCCCAGCACACTCACTCTGTTGACACGCCTCCCCGCCCTGGACGGCTCGCAAGCGGCTACAATATGTTTTTGACCCTTTTTTTGTGCCGGCCCTCGTTGTAGTGGACCGCCGCACAAAGAAACGTACCTACCTACCCGGAGCTCTTCGGGACTGAGGGGGTGTCGCCTCGTCGTGCTTGGCCTTGAGGCCGGCCGGCGCTGGAACCAAGAGGCTTCGGTTCGTGGCGCGTGCTAAGATGCATGAGCTCCCGGCCGCTCCTCGCCGTGGCCTGGGTGCGCAGGTGGGTTTCGCAGTGCAGCGGGCTTTACTCTCTAGCCTGCTGGCCCCGCGCCGCTCCTCAGTGACCTTGTTCTTTCTCGTGGTGCGATTTTTTTTCGGACTTGTCGGCACGCAGCAAAACATACATGCAGGCACATGGGCGGCACGTTTTTGTGTTGTTTCGCTGTGACATTGTGGCCGTGTTCGTTGGCACATGTGCCCCTGGAACATCCTGGAACTAAAATCTGGCAAAAACCAGTTTATGGGCCTGGGTTTTTAGCCTTTGCTCAACCGGGTTCCTGGTTCACCATATGGATTTGGACAGCTGAATTTCAATTACAGCCGATGTGTTCCGGATTGTGGCCATGGCCGCTTCCAGCAACCGGAAGCGGCAGCAGCACCAGCAAAAGGAATGGCCAACACTTCACCCACTTGGCCCTTTTCGTGCCAGCAGCATCACCCCCAAACTGTAAATTTTGATGTGGTTTGGCCGCTCAGGGATGTTCAGGGTAGGCATGCACTCCTGCACCGTACCTGACAAAAGGGAGTTGAATGAGGTGCATGGAACATGATTCTTGAAGAGTCGCTGTGTTCTCGGACGTGGGTGTTCAAGTTGCACTTTGGGAAGTGCGTGGGTGGCTGAGAAAGATGGATCCTGGATCTGCCGCTTGGACGCATTTTGTGGATGCCACTGTACATTCCCGACGGGTCACTTGAGTCCATCGTTATTTTGGTCAATAAGTTTGTATATGCAAAGCAAACCCCATCAATCATCAAACTTGAAAATTCCACAGCTGATCGGCAACAAGCGGAGGTATGGGTGCCTTTGACCCCAGCCACGACATACAACCGACTCCGCCAGCATGAGGACAGTCACCCCAAAATGCAGTGTTTTGCGAAAGCAGTGGCACAGCTGGGTTGATCTGAAGGAACACGTGCGAAAAATTGAGAAACAGAAGAGCGCATTGGCTCTCAAAGATGGGAAGTCAGGCGGGGGCGGAATCACGTGAAACTGCGTTCCCCATGACATTTTTCATGCTTTGATTTCGCCAGCCTGGTGGGAGGCGAAGCTCAGACACCAATGGTCATGGTAGCTGGATTGTCACAGCCAGGAATCAGGCTCTGTAGATGTCTTGTGGTCCGAGATGGACATTTTCGTTTCCTTCCCGTTGGCAAGGTCGCTGGTGCCTTTGGACTACCAGGGTGACATTCAGAAGTGATCAATTGGGTTTGGCGTTGGGCCCACTAATGTTGGGAGCGTGCTATGCTGCAACGATGGCCAACCACCTGGGCCGCCACCCTGTCCTCCATTTTGGCAATGCAAACGAATCATGTCATGACCTCTTCCAAGCACACGCACCCAGCGAAAGTTCGAAGGCGAGGTGCTTGTATCACGAGAAAAACCTGCAGACAAACACCAGAAATGGGATGTCATTTGCTCACAGTTGATGACACTGAAAATGTTCAAGTGATCGAGATCCGACGTGTTTCCCATTCCGCACCACACCCCCATCCACCGACAGTGAACTCTCAGCACAGTCACCGGCCCAAAGCTGGCAATGTGGCCTTGGACAGTTGGCACACACCTGCATGTCCAGCATGCCTCAAGTAATTTCATATGTATACAACTGTAACCACATGTACACACACACACACCACAGACGAACCCAAGAAGGAATGAAAAGCAAAGAGATCTTCAATGGTTAGAGAGTTAGAGCACAGGGCTTTGGACAACCCAGAGGGCTCAGAGGGTGGGAACCTTTTGGGTTAGTTATTGTCATTGTGTGCAACATTCTGAAGCTTTGAATGCGTTCAAGTTCCTTGAGTGGACGGCTTGAACCCGTCGGTCGCATGATCACCACAGACCCATGGCGCTTTGCAAAGACCTCATGGCCGCTTTGATCTATGGGGGAGGCGCTTGGGGCATTGGCAAAAGGATCGCTACTAGGAGCAAGAAACTACCAGGGCCACTTGGGGCTCTTGGCCCTACTACTAGGAACAAGGACGCTACTAGGGGCAAAAGGCATCGCTACTAGGAGCAAGAAGCGCTTTGGGCATCTTCATGGAGACAAACCTCGCAAGTGAATGCAGCCAACTTTCCAGGCACATCATCAGGCGGACGCAGAATGGCCGGCTGCGGCATGGGGAGGCGGGCCGCAGGGAGCTCCTGCCTTGGCATCTTCCACAGGTAGAGCTGGCGCAAGGCTGCGCCACGGGCATTGCTAGGGGGCTTGGAGACATTTGGAGACCACCTGATAGAGGGGTCACTTCGGAGCAGTTCGGGCCTTCCAGGCCATGGTTGGCGCTGGAATGGAGGGACCTGGTCCCACAATTGGTGGCTGAACAGCAGGGTGGAAGTTGATGGGAAGAGGCTTCTGAAACTGAGTGGACGCTTATTTGTTGGGCTCAACAGCCACGCTCACCTGCCCAGGTTTGACGGTTGGTACCCATGGAGCTGGAGTTGGTGGAGTTCACCAAGTTGGTCAACTTGGGACCGAAAGTCCTGTCGTGCTCACAGAGTTGTCCCAGATCCAATGGTGAAAGTATGGATAAGATAGTGGCATCACGTGGCAAGGTGGTGATTTGAAGGATCAGTCATAAGCATCATAAGCAGCTGCTACTTGTAGCAGCTGGCAGGATAGTTGGGGTTCTTGGCGTGGCTGGAGATCGGAGGAGATCTACTGAACTGGTTTGTTTGATTCCAGGATTGTTCACTTTAAGACTTTCTTTGGTGAGAACCTTGAAATACCAGCAGGAGCCTGCTTGGTCGAAATGGGACTGGAACAGGTCCTCTGACCAGGCTGGAGATTGTGGTGCAATCATTTCGCCAGGCTTTTCAATACAAGTTGAGCACCAATGGACCCCTACTAACGGCATAATGATCTTGAAAGGCTCATTGGTGGAGAGACTCTGGTGAGGACCTGAACGAACAGACAATCGGTACTGTACTGTATTTTGTTAGCGCTTTGGTTTTGAAGCACTCGGACGCAAGGTGAAGCGTTTGGTCTTATGACTTCCTCATCTTCACCTGCAGGAGTCCCAGGGAGGATGGCAACCTGAAGGCCGGCCTGAAGCAGAACCTGAAAGCAGCAAGGTGCGGGGTTCGGAACACCATATCCCCCAATTCAATCCGTAAGTTATAAAGGCAGAGTGAAAGAGATTTTCACCAGGGGCTTGCTGCCATGGCTACATGCATCTACTAATAGTTACTAGCAATATCCGGACGGGACCCAGATGATGACTGATTGCATGGTAGGCAATACGCACTTAGGCCATGCTCCATCATTGGCACTTCCATGTTGCGAGTCGCTTCCCCTCCCGAATGCTTGCAGAATCAAGTCTGACATGAATCATCAGGAGCCTGGCTGGTCGAACTGGGACTGGAACAGGTCTTCTGACCAGGTGGGAGGGAATTCCGACAATGTTGGGGTGCACCATTGCATGCTTGCTTTGCTTGTTCAACGGGCGAAGAGGCTTCATGGTGGAAAAACTCCGGTGAGGACTTGGGCCCTGCACTTCTTCCTTAAACATCAAATTTCGCATACGGTGCGTCAGAGGAAATCTATAGTCAGTTTGTGTCTTTCCTTTTCCACCCGAACCTGACCCATTTGCGCAGCACTGTGCAATAAACATAGTAAACATCTTGGCACATTTGCTTTCAGTGCAGGAGGCTCACGGAGGGTGGCAACCTGAACGCAGGCCTGAAGCAGAACCTGAAAGTAGCAAGGCGGGGCCTTGCAAGTCTGTTTTAGAAAGACCCATCATTCCAATAATGCTTATGCAATCGTGTGCATCGTGACCTAAGGAGCCAGATACTGAGCCGCAAACGCATCCCGATGAGGTGCCTCTATGCCCTTTCATGAGCTGTGACAAAGTGTGTGATTTCGATCAGCATTTGTCACTCCTGCAGTGCAAGACGTCGTTCCTGATTGCTGTAGAACACCGATGGAGATATAGTCTTGTCACGGGTGGCAGTCACGGGTTTCGGCAGTGATGAGGTTTCGGCAATCGCAGCATTGCCTCTGAGGTGCCCAAGGTGAGTGCAATTGAGAACCACACCGCGGTTGATGCCTTGGTGAAAAAGCTTTGAAGATCGTCGAACTGTGGGTTTGAGGGTTCTTTGTTGCCACCCATTGATGGAGCTCCGCACTGCAGGTGACAATGATCCTTCCGTCACCCAGCTCCGCCAATGCGGCGGGTGGCTCCAGTGAGGACGTGGGGAAGTCGTTTGCTTGAACTAGAGAGGGCTTTGGTGGAGGGTTACTTGCCCCACTTTGGCCTTGTAGGAGCCTCGCAGTCCCGTCGAGGCGTGGCAGAACCTAAAGGCCTTTGCAAATTATATGGAATTGCTTGGGAGGATCCCTTGGTGCGGGATGACCCTTGGAAGCGCAGAGAAGCTGACAAGGAGTGGCGTGGGAAAGCCGTTGTCATTCTGTAGTGGAGCAAGGTCTGCCCGATACTGGCCCGATACTGCTCTTCCTTGATCTTCCAAATGAACAGGACCTCTCCGTCCAATCGCGGCAGGTGCTGGCGGTTTCTTGAACGTCGAGAGTTCATCTTCACGCGTTTTCAAAGACCAGCATGTCCAGTTGCAGCCTGTGAGCATGATTAGTAACAGTAACATACAGTAACGACAACTATTATTATTGTGCTTGACACCAAGGGAGTGGTGGGTCTTTGATGCATTTGAATTGTTTGACTTTTCTAAATTGGCTCACGGGAGGCGTCCCCCCCCGCGACAGCGCGAGCTGTCGTGCTGCTGGCGTGTTTCTTTTAAAATCGAGATTTTGCACCGGAACGCTTCTCGTGCGAAGACAGGCGGCCACCACCACTGCGGCCAGCTCGGGATTTGCGTTCCAAGATTTTTGTCTCGGGAAGCTTGGTCGTGAAACTTTCTTTATCGAAAACGAAAGCAATGAACTTACTGGGCCTTTGAAAACAACACCTACAAACATCTACAAACACGTGCAACAGATATGTGCCGCTTTATGCATGAAGCAGTGTCTCGGCATCCAAATCTTGGCCTGAAAGGGACAATGATTGCCTGAAGGCTTGGACCCGTATGCTGTTGTGCTTGATGCTGAGGACTTAGTGGCGACACCTTGCCACAAACCTTGGGTGAGTACTGTCAAGGCGTCGGTGAGGTGCGCTATGCCACGGTCTATATGGACCCGGAGACTTGACGGCAGTGAATCTGCTTGAGTGGTGGTGGGTCTCCCCTCGCTGGTGCACAAAATCTTGCGCACATTCACATTCCTACTAAAGTGCATGGATGCGCTATGTATTCGCTGCCTCAAAGGTGGGCTTTTCTTAGGCAGCTCGCAGGGGGCGGTTCGTAAGGACAGTGGCAGTTCCAATGGCACAGGGAAGGTCGACTTTGATAGCCAAGAAACCGCCGAGCGCGCCATCCGGGAGTTGAATGGCACCACACTGGATGGCTGCAAAATTCTCGTGCAATCTTTGGCTGATGTGCCTGCCCACTTCTGGCAGCTTGGTAACAGCTGAAGAGATCTTCAAAAAGCTGGTTGCTGATGATTGAGGTCAGGTTCGATCAAACATTGCTTCCTCTTCAGTAACTTGGTAGGGTCATCCACGAATGGCTTGCTGTTGAAAAGCTCATATGTGGAAGCAACTTGTAGATTGCAGGATATTGCAGGTGTGGCTTTGGGAGGCTCCAGTCAGCTGCCGTTTCCAACTTTTCTCTGAGGCAACGGCGAGACACAGCTGGCTGCGCTGTCTTTGTGGGAAATTTGCACCCCACAGTGACCAGGGAGGAGCTGCTACTTGGTATGATGCGTGACAACACTGCCCGGCAGCGAACATTCCCAAGTCGACTATTAGATCAAAAGTGTCGTTTTCAGTTTTCAGATCACTCATAGGCCTCTGTTCACCACAGCGGACAGTCCTTGGCGTATTTGTTCATGGAACCTGAGGCAGGCCTTTGCTTCAGCTGCAGGCTTCACGGCAGCAAAGAGAAACCACCACCGTACTTCAATGCAAACCAAAACACCTGGATTGCATAAACAATATATCGTAAACTAGCGGGCAACCATGTAAACGATCAAAGTTCAAACCAGCGAACTGCACAAATCACCCGCAGTTCAGCACTCTTCTGTGGTTGGGGGCATCCGGGTCCGTGTCACCGTTGCAGAGGAGAGGTGATCTATGTGAGAGTATTCACCGATCGACAGTATCTTGACTCAATTCCACAATGCTGCTGTGCCAGTATCGCGTTTGTGCCAAGACGCTGGGTGGCTTGAAGTGACGGGTGCCGTTTGGTCATCCATCCGATCCCCTCAAGGACCGGCCAGTCGAGAGGATGCGGCAAAGTGGAGTACGCATCAATTGAACAAGCGGAGGAGGCAGTCCACAAGCTGAATGGCAAGGCTACCAGGGAAGGGGAGGAGAATTTGATTTACTGTAACTTGACGGTGCCGGGAATATGCTCAACCGACCTGCCTGTGCTCATGTCGTGACAATGTTGTCATCCAAAGATCCAGCTGTTGATGACATTCGCTTGAACCACCCTCCTGCGTATAAAGGAGTCAGGATGATTGCGTAGCAGCTAGCAGCTGGAGCCAGATCACAGAAGTACTTAGATGAACTCTGCCTGCAACCTACATCCAGAAACACTTGGAATACTAATGCAGGCTATTCAGGGGTATTTTTGGTTGCCATCAATTGTCTATTTGGAGGCCTTGGCCGGGCAAGAGGTGACTGTAGAGCCCATGGCATCTGAGCGACGCCCTTCCGTCTGCACCTGAGAGTGCTCTCCCAGCCATGGAGGGCGTCGGAAGCTTTGCAACTTCAGTAAGTCTTGGCATGCAGAAGTGAAGACTTCAGCACACGTTTGTTTAGGATAGAGTTAGAGTTAGAGGGTTTCCACGGCTGTTTTTTCTTCGCACGTGACTCATGACTAAGTTTAACATGTCGGCTGGCACTATGTACGGGATGTTGTGGAAATACAGATCTTCAATGGCTTCTTTTCATTTATTCTTTCCCCCGTGAGCATCCTTGTCAAGTTCTTGAAGAAACTCAAGCCAGTCTGCAAACCCTGAGGTTCCCAAGCCACAGAACACAGTCTTTGTGGGAGGTTTAGCGCCGGAGATGGATGAAGGAGCGAAGCGAGTGGGACTGATTGAGTGGACCGGCCATCCAAAGCCATACTGCAAGCCCAGGAAAGAAGATGGAGCCCGCGAACCCAAATGCACACAAAAATGAACGGCCATGGGCCGCTGTTTGACACTCTTGAAGGACATTCCCGGGTGACACTCTTCTAGGACAGTTGTAGGACACTCTGGTATGTCACTCTTGTGGGACACTCTTGTGGATGCTCTTGTAGAACACTCTTACTCCAGCCAAGCCTTTAAAACAAGCATTACGAGTGTTTCGTATGAGGCATCCCCCCCGAAAGTGATGCGTCAAGTCAAGTCTTCACAAGGATCCTTTCCCACAAGACATCCTTCCTTCATACTGTAAATCAAAATGAGAACTCTCATGAACTCTCTATATACTGTAAAATAAAGTGAAACGGGAAGTCTCATCACTGCGAAAGCATCACGCAGCATTTCCCAAGCAGCTTTGCAATCCGCAACATGCTAATCTCAACGGCACAGCGACACTCATCACGGTTCCCTGCACCTGCCTCAAACTGCCTCGCGCACATTGAGGCTTCACCCAGATACCTCAAAATCGCAATTTTTACCGAGACTTGCCACGAAAGCACAAGAGCAAAACTCAATGGCACAGCAACATTCAATGTGTACTACTAGTTACAGGTGCATCGCCACTAGTAACAAGTGCATCACTGCTAGTAGCTAGAAGCTACTAAGCTACTAGTAACAGGTGCATATCAAATCTTTGGGGACTACTCCCTCAGGCACGCGAACAAGGTTTTATTGGAGAAAGCCTTCGCTAATTCATTCGGGTCAGGGCCCCTCTTTTCGAACTACTTTTTGTGGTGAAACTGGCTGTGCCAGAACACAACCTCGACCAGTGACAGAATATGAAAGAATGTCAACGTGTGGTGTGGAACATTTTGCCTGTAATTGATTAGAGAGACTTTGGCAGGCACTTTGTTGCAGCTTGCATCTAGTATTGGCCCAGTCACCTTTGCCCGCATCTTCCGGGATCGTGACAGCGGCCGCTCGCGAAACTGTGGAAAGGTCGTCCCGCAACTGCATTTACACCAGTCAGAAGTTCAGTTAACGCTTTGAGTGTTGTCTTGTGTCCATCCTCGATTCGATCGTACTTCCAAGTGCCAAGGAGTTTGAAACGGAGGACTTGGCGGCTAAAGCAGTGGCTGAACTGGCAGGGCTGGACTTCAAAGGTCGCAGAATCATCGTGCAGCCCTTCGGTCAGGCTTGGAGTAACCGATCACGGTTTCATCGGTGTGTAGGTTTTGGCCCAACTCCTAGGAGGGCCACACGCAAACATTGAGTCGAGCTAGTTAACATCACCACATCATTCTTGTGATCCTTCGAGTCTTTGAGAGTCAAGGACGCTACTAGGGGCTCCTGGCCTTACTTCTAGGAACATCTAGGAACGCTTCTAGGAGCAAAGGGCATCGCTACTAGGAGCAATTCTTGTCAGCTTCGACTCATTGGATGGCAGGCTTCAGAGAACTCCGACCCTCGACGTCCACAGGCGGAGTTCTGGTCATAGAAACAACCACGTCCACCTCGCCAAACCGAAGGGCACAATGGTTGTAGAACAGGCATCAGAAGATTCAGAAGGCACAAGGGGTCCACCAAAGCACATCACACATGTTTTTCATTCCTCATAGCGTTCACAGAGAGAGAGAGAGAGAGAGAGAGCACCGAAAAAATATTTTATATTATTTTATCAAATATTATCAAGAAATGATGTCAACACAGTCCCGCCATCCCCAGCAGTTGTCGAGCACCGGAGCATATCACGAAAGCCGACTGCCTGAGCATATCTTGAACTGAATCAGGTGGATGGCCGGCAGGTCTTCATTGCCGGGCTCACGGCCGGTCTGAAGCTCGATTTTGGCGTTGGATGTGGTCCACCTTCCAAACCCGTGCGGTTTTCTTTCCCACGGTTTGGAACACCCGAGACACCAGCTCGGAGATGCTGCGGGAGTTCTGTCAAATGACGGTTGGTGCTGTGGACACGGCTCGCGTGCAACCTGGAAGCACAGACACAGTAACATTTCAGCACATAGTCATAGTCCAAAGTTGCCTTGTGGGACCTTGGCTGAAGCGGGAAGCATTGAAAAGCTGCGAGATATGCATGAACCGTCCCGCACATGCTTAGGTTTTTGAATCGCGAGACTCGGGAATCCAAAGGGACGGGGAAGGTGGAGTTTCAGACGCCTGAGTTGGCGCAGAAGGCCGTTCAGGCTAGGAAGCACTTGCACACCTGACCATCGTCAACTGACCAATCAATTGACGGTTCATGCCTGTTAGAGACAGGCACATGCACACACAAAATAAATCGAATGGAGAGTGTGAGGATGTGTGAGGGAGGTGCTGTTCATCCTTTAAATTCACGTTTCAAAGTTTGTTGGCCAGGAACTCAACGGCCGCCTGTTGGATGGTCAGCGACTTTCCGCGCGGCTCATGGAGTTGCTCGGCCAGTTTGAATCAGCCGTGCGCACCTTTCATCCGCTCACCCGTGCCAAACAACGTAAAGCACCATGAAACAGCTGGGTAGTGGCGCACCAGAAGGTGCCGCAATTTCTTGCGCTGGCCAGATTGGACACGGACAATTCTGTCAAGCCGGCACCGAGGCAAGAAAGGCCAAGCCGGCCAACAAGAGAGCCCAGAGAAGCTGCAGATCCACAGTGCAGACTCTTTTTGGCAAACTTGCCAGATGAGGCGCGTGGAATGGCGTAGGTTCCGGATTCAAAGAGCAGCTACCAAGGGAGGGGAAGCATTCGGTTAAGGATAAACTTTTTATATAGGAACTGCACATGTTGTCTTTGCTTTGCTTAAGTTCCTTCTTCCAATTTTGTTCGAAATCATTTGTCAACCGTTCTGGTCATGCTTGACCACTGGCAATAAAGGTCTCTGATGCTCAGCTACAAGAGTTGCTACAGCAGGCTGGCGAGGCCTGTGACACAAACAAGATCGGTGCCTGTGAAAAGTTGTGAAGGCGCTTGTTGCACTGGGTCGCTTCTTCCCAAACATGTGGCTATAACAGGCTATGGCTATAACAACAAGTATATAACAAGACAACAAGATGCCACTTTGATTTTGACCTGTCCTTCCCAACAGGTGGTCTCAGCCTCTGTCTTTCAGACAGCGCAGGGCAATTGCATGGGCCGTGCCACCATGGTGCTTGGCCAGCAGAGCACTGGGACTAGGGGAGGTGGATGCAAACTCTTGCTGCTTTATGCATATAATGCAGCTGTTCATGTAAAACGTAGAAAATGGGCTAATATGGGCCCGCTTTGTGGCCAGGATGAGATGCCTTTGAACAATTCTAGATTCTAGCAGGCAATATACTGTATATTGTATATGATTGTATGATTAGAGAAATCCGGTGAACAAAGCTGCTGACTTCGACCTATTGTCAAACTCTGAATTGGTAAGGTCCACCGTGGTTGGTTTGTGAAAGTTTTGGAATATATATATATATATAATAAGATAAATGGCAACTCTAACACTGCCAAGACAAAGTGTCAAGTGTTTCAGTCTGTAGAAGGGCGGAGGGGTCGTGACCCAGGCTCAGGCCAGGGCAGCAGGGTCAGGTGGGAACGCCCCGAGCAGGCTCAGGCCGACGGGCAGTCTCCACAAACATGCCAGATGGCTCGAAACCACGTGTACATACACGTGCCAAGGAATGTTCAGGCAGATAGTGAAGGGCAATGGCAACTGCTGGATCACGGTTTGGTTCGTTGCCTGTTAGGTTCCCTGGACAGATTTTAAACATGTTGTTTTGCATGAAACTAAACACTACTTTCGGTGGCAACCTGTTTAAGCCGCAGCTGGTTCTATGGTGTTCTCCTCACTTTGTTGCTTCTTGCCAGAAGAGTGTAGCAGCTCCACTTTATAAAGAGATGTGTTTGCTTCAGCTTTCGAGGATTTTCTCAAACTCGGAGTGCTCTGCAAAATCTGAAGATTGAACCCTAGAGACTTGACTAGAGATAATTCGTTGCAATTGGCAATCCTAACAAAGTTAATACTATGCATGTTAATGCCACCCCTCCCCAACCCCCCCAACCCTAGTTTATGCCAAAGCAAGTGCAGTGGATGCATGAAGCAATCTGATGTTGGTAACATTGTAGCCATTCCGCTGAGCGCTACCCCTTGTCTATGCATGAAACTACATCCCAAATTGATGAGGTGATGCCAATGAAAAGGAGGTGCTGTTGATGCTTAAGAAACACAACATATATATATATATAGTTATAACTTCCGGGCCGAATGTGCGACACACGTGCAAAATCCAGAACAAAAATACGAAGCAACCTATCAAACCACCAGCAACCAGTTGTAGTTGTTTTGGGGCAAAGGGCCTCATGCTAAACAGGTCTAGAACAATCTAGCTAGGGGCATTCAGCATGTGGATGCGAGGTTCAGGCTTCCATCAAACCTGCGTTGAGGCAAGTGCCGAAGAGGCTGCCCGAGCTGTCAATATTTTGCAACTCGGCTCGGCCCATCGGAAGAGGCACATCATTCTCAAACGCCGCCACAGAGAGCTGCCGCCCGGACACGCCTAATGTCATAAGGCACGATACCTTCTACGTCTCCAAGCGCATCACTGTGCGGCTGGATCACGGGGTGAAGCCATCACCACAGTTGGAGATCCAGCAGCAATGAGAATGACGTCGATTGAGATGTTGAGGCATTCAACACGATTGTCACGGGCCAAAACAGTCAGAGCTGAGTACCACCCAGTACAGACTTTAAACAGAAAGTCAGTCACACCGACCAGAGTACGGGTCAAAACCAACCACAAGAACAGCAGCAACAAAGTCATCACAGGAGGAAGAAGTAGTAGGAAGCAGAAGCAGCAGCAGCAGGAGGAGGAAGAGGAGCAGCAGTAGCAGTAGCAGCAGCAGTAGTAGCAGTAGTCGTAGTGGTAGTGGTAGTGGTAGTCGTGGTCGTAGTCGTCGTAGTCGTCGTAGTCTTAGTAGTCGTATGTAGTCGTAGTAGTAGTAGTAGTAGTAGTCGTCGTAGTAGTCGTAGTCGTAGTCGCTGTTGCAGACGCAGCCGCAGGCGCAGTGGTGGTGGTGGTGGTCGTCGTCGTAGTAGCAGCAGCAGCAGTAGTCGTAGTCGTAGTAGTCGTAGTAGCCCTAGCAGTAGCAGTAGCAGTCGCCGTCGTCGTCGTAGCAGTTGCAGTAGCAGCAGTAGCAGGAGCAGGAGCAGGAGCAGGAGCAGGAGCAGTAGCTGTAGGAGTAGGAGTAGGAGTAGGAGTGGTGGTGGTGGTGGTGGTGGTGGTGCAGCAGAGGTAAGAGTAAAAATGCAACAATAGCTAAGGCGCAGCAGTGGCGACAAAAAGCAGCACAGCCAGACAGAGAGAAGGAGAGTAAGAGAGAGAGGGAGAGAGAGAGAGAGAGAGCGCGAAGACACAGCAACCATCTTAAGCCAGCAAAAGGATGAAGCAAGGCTGGTGAACAACTTGTAAGAAGTCGACAAATCCAAACTCCACAGCCACAACCACTTGCTACATCTTGATACCAAATGTGAAAACATTTACAATTTACAGCGAGGTGGAAGCAAATACCTTTGTATTGCTGGGCTTCTGGTGCCCAACTCCTTGCAGTTGCTTGATTCCTTTTTGCCTTGGAATGTTTGAGGATTCCACTATCTTTGTGGGTGGCCTCAATTTCAACACTACGAGCGAAGGTCACATGGTAGCAAGGTCTTGCTCATTGATTGTAATTTCTGTGTGAGTCCTGATTATTTTTTTTTGTGGGCCGCTCTTTGACGTTTATCGAACTTTTGTCGCCATTCTTGCGGCCAAATGTTCTCAACATCCGCAAAGGATCTTAAATGGCTTTGAGCGCCTGCCAGGTTTGCAACAACATTTTGCCAATGTGGGTGAAGTAGTCCATGCATCTGTGTTCACTGTGAAGGGCACTGGCAAGCCCAAAGGCACCATTCAAAGAACTTGTCAATTCTGAGCATCTCTTCGATGCGGTTTGCAGCAGTTCTTGTTGCGAGGCAGTGGCAAAGTGGAATTCCAAACTCCAGATGCAGCTCTATCAGCAGTGCAACAACTTGATGGCTCCGAGTTGGATGGTCGGCAGCTCCACGTGCCTCGGAGGGAAGGGTGCTGAAGAACTGGTGACACCAAGAAGTAATATGAAGTATACCTAGTCGTCAGCAAGCACGTGGCACTCAGCCGGAAGGGTGTAAAGTAGTCCAACAACAGCCGTTCGCCATTTCATATTGAAGCTTCTACAGCACCTTCCGTCGCCTGAGGTGAAGTTGATGGAAGCGAAACCACCGAGCCCTGGCTCAACATGGCACGACTCGTGTTCGTGCAAGTTCGACTCGACGAATCCAAGGCTCACACGACCACCACCAGGCCTCAGACCACCAGAGAGTCGCTGGGATCAAAAGTTGAAGGACGTTGAAGGAGTGAATTGTCAAAAGAGAGCGGAGATGACCCCGCCTAAGGCAGACGTGTAGCCAACCTTGTATTTTAAGGAGTCTCTTCTTGAGTAAGCTGTTTCATAAAGATTCGTCCAGCAGTCCAGCAAAGACAACTTCATTCCTCAGACTCTCCAGAGAGAGAGTGAGAGAGAGTGAGAGAGAGAGAGAGAGAAAAATGACACAGGTATACACTATGGTGAAAGCTCCAAACAATGAGAGGGCAGAAACTGAACGCATCTATCTTGGAGTCTTGGATCCCAGGCGGCCGCCAGATCTTTGTCTCTCTCTCCACCGAAACGTCTGCAGAGGCTGGGACACTCTTTCTCCATGCACGGTTGGGAGTCGAACTGTTCGATTGAACCCCACACTGGGTCAACAAGCAACAAGCAGATCAAGCAGACCCGAGAGCGTTGTTCCTTTTGGATGGCTCACCTTAACAGCCTGAACCAGGTTCTGGTTGAGTTGTCGGAGGTTACAGGTTCAAACATGTCATCGATCGATTTGCAAAACTGACATCAGCGCACCACTTGGCTGACTCAGCCGACCCATGTGCCTCAGCATGTCAGATGCTGCGTGAGTTCTGCGAGACTTGCTTGGGTGATGGTTCAGTCGCAGCCTGAGCAAGTCAAGTCAGTCCTTTTTCATGCCTTCCGTCTCCTGCCAATGAAGCATTTCTTTTTTTGCATGAGTCAAGCTTCTTAAGTCAATGGGTACCGCTGCTTCGTGGTGTGGTTCCGCAACAAGGTCCTAAGTGGACAGTCGACAGTGGGTTTAGTGTTGTAGCCTGCAGCCGCATTGAGCCGCTTCAAAAACCGATGCCTGTTCAGAACTTCGAAAAGAAACTACAGTAAATTGAAAAAAGGGACAGCCAAGTGCCGGCAAGTACCTCGCCAATCGGCACCGGTGGGAATGCGTGGAGATCCAACATGCCAAAAAGCTCCTCTTGGCAAAAAACAAGCCCATAGGAGGAGATGGAAGTTCTAAGAAACTCCACCGCAAGGCAGGTAGCTTAAGCAACGAGTAAAGCAAAATAATGAAAAATGCGCTGTTCTTCTCGCCAGGTCACTTATTGCCATGTCTTCGTTGACAAAGACACGGGTGAGCCGAAGGGCATTGGGAAACTAGAGCGCGGAGCTCGGGTCTGACCGACGAGTCAAGGCAAAAGCCATGCATCCTAGTAGTAACAAGAAGCTAGTAGTAACAAGTGCATCGCGAGTAGTAACAAGTGCCTTACTAGTAGTAACAAGAAGCTAGTAGTAACAAGTGCATCGCTAGTAGTAACAAGTGCCTTACTAGTAGTAACAAGAAGCTATTAGAAACAATAAGCTACTTTAATTAAATTAAGACAAACACCTCAAGGCTGGCGTCGGCGGAGTTGGTGGATCGCGCCCTGAAGGATGGAGCATGGAGAGTTTTGAATCGCAGCAACTAGTCAATCAATGACGAAGTTGATTGAGACCGATGATCGATAGTCTATATTAGTTCCAGGCCTGTTTTCTTTAGTTCCCAAGTTTAGACACACAGCATCCTGTCTTGGTTTCCAACCTTTTGGGCAGATTTCCCTTGTAGAACTTTTTGATTAGATGGAATGTTTAAACATTTTTCAAACTAATTACTCGTACCGACTCGTACCTGATGTACTGCTTGCCCTTGACAGGAGCTCGAAGGGGCCATGTTGCAGGGCAGTCACTTAAGCCTACGTCGCCCAGGTATGGCGGGGGTAGCACTGAATGGGTTTACAGAGTGTGGAATGAGCACTCAACCTGCCACATCCTCATACGAGACAATGGCAAGACTTGAGTCAGCATCCTACTAATAGAGGTGTTCAATGATTTTTCAGGTGATCGGCTTCCTCAAGAACCTGATGGTCGGACAGTGTTCGTCGGAGGTGCTGAGCTGTTTGCGTTTTGTGGACGTGTTTCAGCGGGAACGGGGGAATGGTGGGCCGGCACACCGGCATTTGATTGACCCTAGCTTGGCTTTCTTGATGCTGCATGCTTTGCCAGTTGCCAGGGTTGAGCTGGGACTTAGACTCCAAAGGGCTCAAGGCATTTGGCGAGCAGGTTGGTGAGGCAGGACCGAGCAATCAAGCTATCTCGCTCCGTCCCCCTTTGTCTTGGCCCTTGTTCACCTGACATTTCACGGTGCCCTTTGATATAAAAAATATAGTCTAGTCTTATGCATTGAGGGGAGGCATTTGCTGATGGCCAGGTGTCCTACGCAGCCGTCTTCACAAACCGCGAGACCGGCAAATCCAAAGGATCAGGCCTTTGGCGTGGAAGGATGCGAGATGCATTCATTAGCTCGACACTGGTAGAAACCGGTGGCCGCAGTTTGCCCGGCTTTGACCGTACTGATGTGCTGCTGCTACCATACAGCTTCCGTTGTTGTTGTTGTTGTTGTTGGACGAGGGCTTCAGTGGCTTCAGTGTAGATTTGTTGCACAGCAGGCAAGGTGCAGTTTGCCAACAGCGAGTTGGCCTTGAAGGCGGTTGAAAACCTCAATGGCCGTGAGTTATTGGGGCGAGAGGCCGAACCGTGCGACCGCGTTGGTGGAGGTGATGGAAAACTTTCCCACAATCCTGGACACTGTCTCTTGTGGTCGGTTATGGTGATGCTGATGCTGAGTCAATTGTGGTGAGAGCCAACGGCTTCTGCTTTCCTGGTTTTCCCCTCGACTTGAATAAAACTGTGCACGGCGCACACTCAAGAATAATGTTTCTTTGCGGGGCTAGTTTGTTAACATACATGTTCATAATTGTATACATGTATATAGGTATGTTATATATATATATAAATTTACACACTATATAATAAAGATATATATATATAGATGATAAATGCAAGGCTTTCCACCGTGTGCAGTGTGTTGAGCAAAAAACAATAGCAGTTTTCATATTATTGTCATGCTGCTCTTCTTCAGAGTCTTCAGAGTTCGAGATGTCTTTTTGATGGACCCCGCTGCCAAGTTTGCTCGCAGCAACCTTTGAGTCACCGCAACTTGGCCCGTGCCAGCAGCAGCTCCTCTGCGTTGAGCTCAGTTGAGATCATAACAAGCCAAGAGCTGTATGAAGTATCAGCGGTCAGAGTGACGGCCATCCAGCTCCAGCCACAAGGGAGCCACGCAAAGGGTCTGGGATGCGAGTGCGCTTTGTGGCTGAGCTTGGCTGAGGTTTTGGCATGCAAGCAAGGCCTTTCCTCCAATGAGTATAGACCAGAAGGCCATGGTTTGCTGTTGGCGGCAATGCCTGGCTGTAATCAATAGAACGAAAGAAACACACACACACACACACTCCCCGCACTCTTTCGGTCCTTCTTTCTTTATAGATTTTAGACCTTTTGGAACTTTCTTTTTTCTTTATTTTGTTTCCTTTTCTGTTTTCTGTTCTTTCTTACTTCCTCTTGCTCGCTTTCTCTCTTTCTCTCTTCCCCTCCCTCTCTCTCTCTCTCCCCCTCTCCTCTTGATTTATAATGCTTTATATATGTATTTTTTGCTTGGTGTGCTCCTGCACACGTTTGTCTTTTTTTACTATGCTTGGATGTGCTTGCCGGATTCCAAGCTGGGTTCATTCATGTGCTGAATCCTGGCAGGCCACTTTGGCAGAGCCCTTTTTGTCTGATGACCTGTCAGACATGTACTTCTACGGCGCCTGGAAAAGAAAGCTTTGGGGTCGCGTTGTGTAGTCACGAACTGTCATGAAGTGTGTGGGCCCTTCCGTGTGATGATGTCAGGGCGTTGGCAGGACCAAGCTGAACACAAACAAGATCTACCGAAGTCTAGTGCTGAACGAACGAAAGTGCGGACGAAGCAAAATGTGTGCGAGTGCTAAAGCAAAGGCATGTTGTCACTTCTAGCTAAAGGGAGGAAAGGAAGAAAGAGTAGGTTACAGTACTTCAAAGGCCTACGGTCTACAAAAGGATACGAAAAGAACCGATAAGACGAGACACGGAAAGAAGATGAATCATTGCGCTTCCTTGATCGGCAGGTGCTGTGAAGTCCTTCACCGATCGTGGCTTCGGCTGGCTCAGTTGCCTGGACACAGCAGCTCGCTTTGGGCGGGACGTTTATCTCTCCAAGGAGGCAGGTATGGGTGGGCAGTTGTGAGATGCATTGTTTGCACAGCCTGGTAGGGCATGCTGAATTCTAGACTTGTGGCGGTGCATTGCATGTTGCTCTGTGTGAGTGTGAGCCTTGAGCTGCTGTTGGTCCAGCCAGGATGCTGCTGTCTTAGCGAATGACGTGGCCTCGAGGACGCAGAAAGTGCTTGTTAGAAGCAGAGATCAGGGTGTTGAAGCACATTGAACTTCCAATTCCCAACTCCTGATCATCCTAAAGCCTGCACAGTTGCGAGTTTCTGGCCAGCAGATGAAGGTCGTCGGTGCCCAATCTGAAGCCGTGCGAGATGGCCAGCTTGTCAAATTTCAGGCCAGGCACTTGCTCACTTGCTGGGCACCTGGGTTTGGATGGGCTTGAGTGCGCAAACAGCGTGGTAAAGCCTGCAAAAAATCCTAATGCCGCTGCAAGGTCTGTTATTGAGTTTTGGGGACTCTTCAGAGAGTGGATTCTGAGGTGACCGAGTCCTCCGAGGGCTACCCGCAGGCTACAAAGACGCGGCGGGTAAGACGGCTGATCGGAGAAGTGCTCCAACTGCCTGGTGAGCTTGCGGCGGATGGCATTCTTACGGTGAAGGGTCTCTGAGTTGCACTGGCTCTGTTCAGCTCACATCAGCACGATTCAGCAGTGATGATCTATGTCACATGAGCAACTGCCAAAGCATGCGATGACTAATTTACCGGACATTCGCTAAAACCTGCAAAAGCGATAGGCCCCCTCAAAAATGATAACCTTACTGAATCATGGCCTCTTCTTGACGCTGCGTTTTGGCGGACGCTCACGTCTCACGTGCTGGCTTCAGCACATCACACAAACATTCCACGCAGCCTTCCATTTCCTTAAGAAACTTTGGAAGACTTACGGAGCAAGTGACGACTTGCCTCACCCGCCTTTGACAACTCCTCTACCCAGTGGCATCTCCCTAGAGGCATGCTAGTCACCCTCCATCCTGAAAACTGATGATGCTGATGGGAAGCTGGTGATTCGCCAGACGTTTGAAGAACTGAAGAACCAGCAAGGGGCTACATTTGTGTTCGTGTGGGCAGGGTGCCATGATTGACCCGCATGGGCAGCAGAAGGTAACCAGGAGTGGCTAGCCAACAAGATGCCAAGAGTCTTTGATTTCCATGTGCTTATATTACTTTTGTTGGAATTGCATGGTATATGCATTCAAGGATGTTCAAGGTGCAAATCTGTTTTTCTTCACCTATCCGCCGTCCGCACCCTTCGAGCGGAGTCGTTTCATTTTGTTTCTGACTGAG